CACAGAACTATTTTTTTCTACTTGGTTTTCATCTCAAACAAAAACGTCAGAATCCAAATCATCACAGAGAAAAATCAGTTGAACTTCGCAATACGAAAGAAAACAAAGAAAAGTTATCGTCTGCTAGTCTCCGGCAAAGTCGAGATGATGAAAATGAGAAAAGAAAACCGTAATTCCCCATATCTAATGACTTAGACGCAACATACCTCGAAGGAAGACGTAATAATAAATCAAACGGAACGTGTTATTAATAACAAACAAATGAAAAAAAATCCGAATAGAATAGTTAGAAATATAATTCCTATTCTGATCTACAGACAATGTACGATGACTAAAGAATTTATTGCTGGGAAAGTTACGTTAAAACGAACAAGAATGAAAGTGTGTTTTCCAACAACGCTAAAAACTCCTAAAAATAGCATTTCGTCCACAAGAAAATGACGGGGAAACTACAGAATATATAAGTAAATATTTTTTATTATTAGATAAGAATAATAATATCTGATTTTAGAATCTATTTTTTTTTATATATAATAATGTCTGATTTTAAAATCAGCTTCTGATATATAATAATAAGGTATGATTTTGAATTTACTTTTTATATATAATGGCCGATTTTAAAATTTACCTTTTATATATAATAATGTCCAATTTTAGAATTCAGTTTTTACATATAATAATGTCCAATTTTAGAATTTACTTTTTATATATAATAATGTTCGATTTTAGCATCTACTTTTTATATATAATAATGTTCGATTTTAGCATCTACTTTTTATGTATAATAATGTTCAATTTTAGAATTTACTTTTTATATATAATAATGTCCAGTTTTAGGATCAACTTGTTATGTGTAATAATGTTCGATTTTAGAAGTTACTTTTTATATAAAATAAAGTCCGATTTTAGCATCTACTTTTTATATATAATAATGTTCGATTTTAGAAATTAATTTTTAAATATAATAAAGTTCGATTTTAGAATTTACTTATTATATGTAATAATGTTCGATTTTAGCATCTACTTTTTATATATAATAATGTTCGATTTTAGAATTTACTTTTTAAATATAAAAATGTTTGATTTTACAAGCTGCTTTTTATATTTAATAATATCTAATTTTAGAATCTCCTGTTTATATATAATAATATATGTTTTAAGGATCTTCTTTTATTCCTGCATTACTGTATTTAAAGGAGGATCTATGTTGTGATGTAATAGATAACGGCTCCAAATGCGAAATCGGAGAACTGAGTTCGAATTCCTTTGGGTTAATCACATTCACTTACACACACACACAAAAAAAAAATCCTTAGGAAAGGTTTGAATCCATCTCTACTCCCACCTTCTCCAAGTTTTTTAGCATTGGTTGGTAACTCTTGCGGAGTAGTTGAACATCCGCTCTAAATGGACTGATCTGTCTATTTAAACAGCACTCTCTCTTACTCCGCCTTGTCGGGGCTGGGAATTCAGAATACGCCGACTTCACCTCTCAGAGGGATAAAACACCCCCACCAATAAAGCGTCTTACCCAGGATAATTATTATTATAATGGACTGACTGACGTGCTTATACCTCTGGGAAAGATTTTCAGGCAGATTTTTTTTTTCCCGCAGTAGGTTGCCATTTCTTTCTGTGGTAGACCAGTTACCATCCTCGTTCATCGAAAAAGATCCTGGGGTAAGCGCCATGAGCCAACATTAGACACCTCAAAAGTAGGTCCTCATCCTTAGAAATTCATGCTGTGCATGTAGTAGGCTTGGAATGAAATCCCGTGCTATGAGATCTGCCAAGTAACCAGTAAATTGATTCTGAAAAGTACTGTCTGAATCAGGATGAAAGAAAGGCATCAATTCAAGAAAAAATACCCAAAATTGGCGAACAGGAAAGGTGTTTTCCATCAGGATAATGCAAGGTTTCACGTTTCTTTTGCGACCCGGCAAAAGTTGTTTCTGTTTGGCTTGGATGTGTTAGGGCCATATTCACCAGACATTGGTCCTTCGAAGTTTTTTTTATTTTATTCAGGTCCTTGTAAAATAATCTCAATGGTAAAAAAATATAATTCTTCGGATGACATAAAAACACCTCAATGAGTTCTTTGCCGTGAAGGCACCAAAATTGTGGGAAGATATTTTGAATCGCGTTTCATCTGTGATTTGCTGTATAAACGCAATAAAAAATGCACTTATTTTTATTTTAAATAATGACGGGTGATGAGAAATGGATAGTTTACAGCAATGTTCAGCGAAAAAGACCGTGGTATGAGCCAACTTTAGCCACCTCAAATGCAGGCATTCATCCTAAGAAAGTCATGCTGTGCATCTGGAAAGAAATCCTGTAGTGCCAGCTTCTGCCAAGTAACCAGTAAATTGATTCTGAAAATTCCTGCCCGCAACTAGACACAGCAAATCGAGAAAAAACGCCCAAAATTGGCGAACAGGGAAGGTGTTCTTTTCCATCTGGATAGTGCCAGACCACACGTCTACTTGGCGATCTGGCAAAAAAATTGTAGCAGCTTGCCTATGATGTGTTACCCCACCGGCCATATTCACCAGATATTCGGATTTACATTTATCCAGGCCTTTGCAAAATTATCTCAATGGTAAAATATTTCCTCCTTAAGCCTTATCGAAGCAATCAAACTTACTTAGATACGAACAGAATGAGATAGATAGATAGATAGAAACAAACACCCTGATAATGTTAGATAGATATAAACAAAACAGTCTGAGAACAGAATGAGATAGATAGATAGATAGATAGATAGATAGAAACAAAAAACCCTGATAATGTTAGATAGATATAAACAAAACAGTCTGAGAATAGATAGATAGATAGATAGATAGATAGATAGATAGATACGAACAGAATGAGATAGATAGATAAGTCTGATTGCTTCGATAAGGCTTAATTTCCAACTGATCTAACAAATGAGCTACATTCTGTTGTTAACCGAGGCAAGGAATGGTTTGTTAAATTTAACGCCTCCAAAACGAAACCTGGGGTTGTATTAATCTCCTGAGATAACCATTTCCGCCCGACAAAGGTATGGCTAATGCTAACCTCCAGGAGAGTGAATTATTCATTGTGTCATCTCAGACTAACGTAAAATTGAACGATTATAATGATTCAAATTCTAGGTTTACTACTAGGAAGGTTGGATCTCCATGTCTTGCTAGGAAATTTCCCTCTCCAGAATCTTACATATTTATAAACCTATCATTAATCCTTGATTTGAATATTACAGTCACATCTGGCCTGTTGCCACTGTTATATATTTAAATCTAAATAAGAGTCTGCAATATTATTGGTCTTGACGTGGCATCTCGCCTTCATCTACTGACCTATCGCTGTATCGTAGCTTCTCTGTGTACTTTTATATAAATATTTTTATGGTAATTGTCCTGATTAATGGTACCTAGACTTCAGGTATTTAAGCGCAGTACGAGATTGTTGGCAAGGTATCATCATGTTACAGGTGAAAATCCCAGGTGTTACTTCAATCGTACATCACGTTTGTGAACTTTCTTCCGGCTTCTTTATTCCGAGCTTCCTACCCACATCTCTCTCTCTGTCTCTGTCTCTCTCTCTCTCTCTCTCACACACACACACACACACACACACATATATATAGAACCAATATATATATATATATATATATATATATATATATATATATATATATATATATAAATAGATAGATAGATAGATAGATAGATAGATAGATAGATAGATAACTAGACTCGTTTCGAAAAACCCTCGAATTTTTGATTTGCTAATAATCAAATCAATCTCGAGGGAAAAAAAGGTTTAAAAAAAAGAAAGAACTACAAACATGAACTTCTGTCGACAAAAAATCGCACAGATACAGGTTTGAAGCCCAAAGAAAAAAACCCCGATACGAGTAAACAACTAACAAAAGAGCTCAATACAACCGTAGAGCAGACCTAGATACACTTAGTGAGCCAGACAAACCTACCTAGGTTTCACTTTCCCAGACGATCCGTTTAGGTGAAACCTAGGTAGGTTTGTCTGGCTCACTAGGTGTATCTATCTATCTATCTATCTATCTATCTATCTATCTATCTATCTATATATATATATATATGTATGTATATATATATATATACCGAATTGTATAATACCCTTAAAAAAAATGAAAACTACAGACAAAAGTTCATTTTCTCCATCAAGACATTCATTTCTGTAGTTCACTGCTACCAACAAGCATAAATGTTTCTTCTCCTGATGATGGCCATGTTGGCCGAAATTAGTCGAGGAATCTAAATTAAATAATGATAATAAAAACGAAAGAATATTAATCTACAACCCAGTGTGTCTGAAGATTTTAATTTTTAAAATTTTTTTATTATTATATATATATATATATATATATATATATATATATATATATATATATATATATGGTGCGAAGGAAAAGTCAAATTTAATCAAACATTGAAATAACACGAACATCTCAACTTAACAGACATATTTACCAACTTTACGTAAAATTAACTTAAAATACTAATGGGTAAATGTGTCGAATAAAATCGGCCTCCAGATGACTTCAGAATCTCCTGCTTCTCTTCTGGTATGTCTCCTTGTTAAGTTTGAGAATGCTACCATAATCCTTGCCTTCAGTTCATCTTTAGTATAACTAGGGGTTTCGTTTCTCTCGCTCAACTGTGCTCCACATATAATAATCAAAGTAATTGTAGTCTGAGGAGTTATGTGGCCAAATGTAAGGGGCTATGTGTTCGCCATGAACATGGGTGAAGAGTCCTGTTGCCAGACATAAGGTCTTCCAGAAGCCATCGTCTTGAGCCAGGGTAACACTGCCTCCTCGAGGCGCTTGATGTAGGCCTACGCGTTTAGTCTGAGGAATCTTATATATGTTGTTCTTGTCCTAAGTATTATCACTCATTACCAACCTTCGTGTGATTATTCTATTCAGTAACCTTCACTAGGTAACAACACACACACACACACACACACAC